ATTTCATCCACATGCCGGGATTCATGTGCCTTGTCCCCCTAGCGAGGGGGACAAGGCCTTCAAAATTTTGGGTTCGCAAAAGGGGTGCGTCAGTATTGACGTCTCATTTTACATCATTCGTCTCAATTTAAAACGCACTATAAATGACATGCCTGAGATTCGTTTGGGTGCACTTCCTCTCAGCAAGTATATGGTTCTGTCTCAAAAAGGTCTAATCTGATGTTGACCGCTCCTCAGGTCTCCACCGACGATTCATCAGGACGAGACCCGACCGGGACACTAGGGAGGAACGGCTTAAGCAAGGGAGGCTACATATACGACAGCTTCTTGCGGACAAGAAACGAAAATAGATAGATGGTGTGTGTTTCATTTGCTATGCCTTTTGGCGTGCACATTATGTTTGTTATGTTTCAAGATTCCTGCAGAGTTCGGTTTCAACTATTCTAAAATACCGAGCATGTGCCCAGGTCGCAGAAGCGCCTACCCTCTGATTCGGAACGATCCGCAAATAAGCAAAGGGCATACCAGACACCCATCCACCTGTTTTGAGCAATGCTCAAAATATTGAAAGAGCACATCAAGCGTCAGGTGCTGTGGCGCCTTTGCCACAATAGCGCCAGTCGCAGGGCTGACAGATCCGTGACTGGCGCAAGCCATGGCATGGCCTTTGGGAACCAGGGAATTGAGATTAAAGAAGTAGCGCAGAAATTGGAGGCGAGTGGTGAAGGTGAGCAGAGTTAACAGAAAACAAGGATGAAGGGAGTTCCGTCGCATGAGGCATCTGTGTCCCGTGCATGTAATTTTGAGTGTGCTGTAGGTGGCTACCCAAAAAAATTGTTACTTGGACGTAACTAATCGCAAACCTCTCTTGCAGTTTCGATGGCCCACAAGCCAGCCGGCGCCAGTTCGTTCTCGTTCAAAGGTGAGGATTCTACATTTTCTAGATTGCTCTGAAGCAGCAATACTGAAGCCAGAGAAGCGGTACGGCATATTTAATTGACGGAACGACTGGGGACGCTTTCACTGAAGCTTGTTTTGCTGCAATACATGTGTGTATTGCAGCAAAACAAGCTTCAGTGAAAGCGTCCCTACTCGTTCTGAGCTCCGTCATATAAAGGTGCCGTACCTGTTGTCTGTCTGGCTTCAGTGTTGCTGTAGGCGACAAAACGTGTGCCCAGTTTTGTCACAAGAGGCATATTATGTCACGCACATGTAATTTTGAATTTATCGGGCTTAGTGTGCTGTAGGTGGCTGGTCAAAGAAATTTATACTTGGCGCAGCTAATCGCAAATCTTTCTGGCAGTTTCCACAGCCTAAGAGCCAGCAGGTCCCAGTTTGCTTTTCTTCAAAGGTGAGAATTCCAGATTCCCGAAGGAGGAATACTGAAGCCATATGACCGGTACAGCATTTTTAATTGATGGAGCTCAGAACGACTGGGAGCTCCTGCATTGAAGCTTATTTTTCTGTAATACAAGCGGGCGACATTGACACGTGCCCAGTTACGTCGCAAGAGGATATCTATGTCCCGCGCATGTAATTTTGAATCTTTCAGACTTGGTGTACTTTACGTGGCTACTCAAAGTAACTGCTACTTGGACGCAACTAACCGCAAATCTCTCTTCCAGTTTCCACGGCCTACAAGCAAGCAAGCACCAGTTCGTTTTTCCTCAAAGGTGAGCATTCCAGATACTCTAGTTAGGTGCGAAGCAGGAATAGTGAAGCCAGAAGAGAGGATACGTATATTTAATTGACTGAGCTCAGAATGACCTGTGGCAGTGGCATTGAAGCTTATTTTTCCACAATCAAACGCAGACATAATTTTGAATCTACCCGCTTGGTGAAGGATTGCTACTTGTCGCGAACTAATCACAAATTTTTATTTTGCAGTTTCTATATAACTACAGCTAGCAGGTGCTGTTTTCATTAAGGTGAGGATTTCACATTCTGTTTTCAAACATCAAGTTTTTGAATGAGAGTCCTAAACATTAACTTTCTTTTGTGTATGGCAGATCCTCCAGTTCAGGAATATGTTAAATATATTTGGTATGGATAAGTCCAGTGTTTTGCTTCTTTATTCACAATTTCACAACAGCAACATTTTTTAAATATATCACTCAGAAATACACACAAGGAGAGACTGCGTTGCAGAGAAATGTTGCGCTGAACGTGATATTCCAACTCGTATATAGTTTTATTGGTAGCCGATATAATATATTGGATTCCAATATCCATAATAGGCTGAGTATATTGGAATCGTAAACCCTTATTGGATCCCCATACGACACATGGGGATCCAATAAGGGTTAATACGGTATTGGATTCCAATATTTTCAGCGTATTATGGATTTTGGAATCCCATAACAAATCCTTATTGTAATACAATACAATAAATGCAATGTTTTCCAATACACTGTCTATATTGTATTGCAATACAACAAAAAGATATTGTTTACCAATATCCATAATACGCTGTTTATATTGGGGTTTTTTAATAGGGACCGCAAATGTCTATCATTAAGATAGTACGTTTAAAGGAATGCGTTTTCATTTCAGCCCCCAGCTGACATTTCTTATATAAAAAATGCTGTGCAATATTATTCAACCTTGAGAGTTGTTGTGCATGTATCCGATCTTGTCTTCCCTTGTTAGTGTTTTTCCAGATATCCTTGGTTTGCGTGGTTGTGATGTCATTTGACTGAGTCTGTTGTTGCTTCTCTTTTTGTTTTCCTGTTAATGATGTAAACTGTATGGCATGTTGCTTAGATTTTAGTATCGCAGAAATGACAATGTAGAGGCCTGTGGCTTTGTCAAGCTCGCCTTGTGACATCGTTTTTCGACTAGCCTCAGTATCCTGTACGTTGTACTAGATGCCGACAGACATCAACCTCTACATCAACGTACTGATAAATAGGGTTTGCCTTTTAGCTCGTCAAGGTTTCTTCATGAAAAGGGGTCATGACACCCGGACTTCATTTTAGAGCACAGCTCTTAGGCGCCCGTTTCCGGCTTGTGTGGCGTCGGCGTCGCCGTCGCCGTCACCGTCGGCGTAACCGCGCGGTGCATTATCAGACGCGTGACGTCACTGATGATGTCATCAGTGACGTCACTGATGACGTCATCGTCATCCGCATCGTCATCGTCATCGTCGCTGATGACGTCATCGGCATCAGCATCGTCACTAATAACGTCATCAATGACGTCACTGCTGACGTCATCGTCACGTGACCTCGGTGACGTCCCGCGATCCCCGTGAAGTCACGTGACCGTCGTGAGTGATGGCGACGCCGATCGGAGGGAGGAGTAGCAGACAGGATGAGGAGGTGAGGAGAAGAAAGGAAGGGTATACCTTCCCCTCATTACCCTTCGCCTTCTCCTCCTCAAGAGCAGCGCTCTATTCCTTCGTTACAGGGAGTTGTAAACGGTTTTAATTTTCTTGTTTAATTTTGAAAAGCCGAAAATAAGTAAATTGAACTTTGAATTTCAGAGAATTGGGTGTTATCAAAGAGAAGTTAACTCCTACAAAGACCGAATTTAAATAAAAAATAAACTGAATATCCAGAGAAATCAACTCCAAAAATACAAAATTCTATAGATACGGAAGCCAACAGTACCTTACCAAGTCAGTGTCGCGAGTCGTACTAGACCGACTGTTCGAGAAACCGAATGTTGTAGATAAGAAGCCCACTATGGTATTGGCGACTTATTCTGGCATTCGCACGTCAGCCAGCTGTCACGCCAACCTGCCGACGATCACTTCAACGTTTGCTCCCGTTTTATATGCGGTCACTTTTGCTTTTGTTTTGGGCACAAGTTCGCCGGTTAAGCCTTTGTTGTCAACGTACGCTTCCCGATCCTATTCAATCCGTGACACTATATTTTCTCAAATGATAAATTTAGTAAGGGCGTAAATACGCACGAACTCTATTGTACCGACGACTATGTCAGGGAGAAGATTCCTGTAAATTTGATGATACCTTAGTCCACTATATTTGGCATGTAACACTGTCACGTTACGCGTTTTCTGAACATTGTTTTCTGTTTACCCGTTACAAAGTTTTTCTTTTCTAAAAATAAATTGACATAATAACTTCTATGTAATAGTATATTTATTAGTTTGTTCTCGCGATAGTTTTCTTTTTTTAAGCGCGTGCTGAGTGACACTAGTCAGGAAGTGCACTAGGAGCATCTGTCACGAATGTAAACGCTCGACACGTTTGGTGTGCAACCAGAATACAATATAAAACGTAAAATACAAAAAATAAAGGCTACAAAACACGAACGCCAAAAAATTACTACGAAAATAACAAAAAAGAAATACCTACCAACAATGTAAATCTTTACAGATTTTATGTTTTAGCATTTTTAGGCAACGGGTAAGTCTTGTGAGTTCAAAATGAAGTTCGACTTATTCTGCATGCTCGAAAATTTTCTTTAAAACGTCAATCCCTCTCTAAAACGGGAGAGAGAACATTTTCAAAAGTGATTTAAATATAAATTCTTTAAATGAACCCTTAATATAACCAGGCTTGCCACATTTAAAGTCACAAGGTGTTCTAGAGTAGGTATATAGTTTATATTCGTGACTATGATGCCTATGTTCTATAATGTCTTCAACCTAGAAGAAACCTGACAGGTTGTGTTATACCAAAGTACAACAATACGGAGTACCCAAAAAAATGAAATTCTTCCCACAAACCGTGGGAAGAATTACATTGTCACTGTAATATCGCCTACAGTAGACGTATATTTTGGGCAGTTAAAACAAACGGGTTCCTTATGCACTGCATGGGTTTCATTTCAAAGAAAACTAAATTTTGAAACTTTTAGTCATATGGTTATCGCACGCGTTCATTGTTTATTACCCGTGCGTTTTTACGAAGTGTCTTGTTGTGTGATTGTTTTTGGCGACGAAAAAAAAGATAGCGTCGTTCTTGTCTAGGAAGCACAACAACAACAACAACAAACTGATTTGCCTCGTAATGCATTATGCTATACTTTACCTGCGTATTTGGTTCTCCTTTCGTCTCCTATGTAAGGAAACTTGGCGATGTTCTCCTCTGGCGCTTGAAGTGGATCGTTCCCGCTTGCACCATGTACTGACTGATGCGACAGGTACAAGAAGAATGGCTGCGCAGGTATCGAACAATCAGCGTCTATTGCAGAGGTGATCGAACCGTCACGCCGCTAGCGGCCAAGTTGAGAACCATATTCATGGGGACGAAAACGGCATGAATTGTTTGTTTGCATTTCCAACGCAGCGTTCCGTCGACTAAGCCATCAGTTCCTTCTACAGAAGTTTGCGCCATCTAGCAGGCTCTACGTCAAATACCCGTGTCCGCCATTGTCTGGTCACGCACTACGAAGATGCACTGGGCACGAGCGCTGCGTTAGAGTTCGGCGTGAACTCGGCACGGCTTGTGTCGAGAACGAGCGCGGCGTCAGCGCTCGGTGAGGACTCGGATCCAGTCACCTGCTTCGTCCCCGATAAATGGCGACAGCCGCGGGTTGCTCGATCGTATTTTTTTTTCTAAGAGGGTCCATTGGCTAGGAGCCTGAAAGGAACGCTAACGCCGCACTCGTGACGAAGAAACGTACCCCGCGCTCGATCGACGCAGATAATAAATCAAAACCTGTATCCGGGCTTAGTGTTAGATAAACACAGAAAGACGACGGACGCCATACCATTGCATTTGACTGGTCTCAAGAGCTCAAAATGTCAGCTACGCACTGACTCAATTTAAAAGGAAGTATGAGGGACAACAGATTGAGCTAATAAATGCTACACCCCGTTTACCTTGGCTCCGTTCACCCCAGACAACAATCATTGTTTTTTATGTGATCACCCTCTTTATGGGCATAACCTCGCGCAGAAAGCACGGTCAGGCGATAGAAGGCAGGTGATTGATTTCTCTGACGAACATGCAGCTTCCACTGCCCTGTCAGCTTATGGGTTAACCAAGTACAGTAAATATTACATTGGAAGAAAACATAGGATTACGTGTGAATACTGAGAGATAGATGCCTCAGGCTGGTGGTGTGAAAGATTTCAAAACAGTTGGCGCGTCCAAACCACCAAGGACGTTGCGAAGGTGAGTACACGAATGAATGTCATCGTCCTTGGAACGAGATGGTGTTTTCGTACCGCTTCGTTCCCCTAATTGTAAAAAAGCCAGACCACTTTAGTCTATATTTAACTTCCGGCTTTTGTGCACGACTCATTTCTTCTCTCGGACTTTGCGCCTGGTCGCCTGGTCCACTGAGATCCTTGAACGCACGTGAGGAGACATGTAAAGGGCACTATTCAATGCGAGTTGGGCTGTAAGAGAGCGAGCATTTTCACATCAGCCCAGCCGCGGTCGAATACAGAAAGCTGGTGCTGGATGCGGAGCAACTGAACCTCAAGCTTGCTATTGACACCTCGCCATTGACTGCACCATCATCGCATCAAAAGAGAGACCAACGAACCCAATGGAGGGACAATCCGTTTTCTGTTTGGACTGCTGATATAGTCACTGAAAAAATGAGAACGGCGAGTAAGAGTTTTAGTCGCCCCGTCTCCAGTGCGCGCTTCCTACCTTCGACAACGCTTTGGTGAGTCGTGAACCTGGAGCGTGCACGGGAGGTACCAACATGGGCGAAAGCTGCAAGCGCGTGCTGTGTCACTTACAAAGACGGCCTGCCTTTCTCCGCGTGTAAGCGAATGTAGTAAAGACAGGAATCGTCCATTAAAATATACGTTACCTTCGAAACGTCGCGATTGGCTATGAGGAATTTGGCTCGCTCTGTGTACAGATGGGTAGAGTAGTTTCCATTTTCGCCGAGCACCGGCTCGGTGTTAAGCCAGAAGTCAAGTCCAATGTGACCCTCCTGTGTTCAACAACACGTTACGCTTAATCTGCAGACAACCGTCAAGTTACTCCTCGCGAATTTGACGATTCAACTTACAAATTCCAAATTATGTGTGAAGTAGTCTTCTTCATAATTGTAGAAACCATAAAAGCTGTCGAATCCTCTGTACGTGGGCGTGTACTTTTTCATGTAATAGCCGAGATTCCACTGAAAACAAAAAAACAAAACATGTTTTGTTGTTTTAGTTTTAAATAACAATAGTCACGTATGATTTGAGTAACTCTATATGCGAAAATAGCGAAGCAGTATATCGCGACTGTCTATCGCCGAGGAGAGCGACAAACGCCTATCTTGCAGGAGACATTGAGGCATGCAGCGTGCTCCCTTGTCCAAGTAGAATTCGGAGAAATGCATTCAACAAAAAATAGACAATGTTGGCTTCAGCCAAAGCCCACTTTGCTGAATCCAACACAAAAGAGAAAGGGCGGAACGATTTGAGCTGGGAAAGGACAGGTATGGGAACAAGAGAGAGACGAAAGGTGCGACTTTCGTCAAGGTTGGTGCGGTGGTGCGCCGTGAGTCAGCCTCTTCTTCTGAAGAGCGCGCACGTGAGCTGCCTAGCAATTCCTTCTGGATAAGAAGGTGGTAGTGCTGAATTATTTGCGTCAAGGTTCAAGTAAAGGTGTTTCTTGGCTAAACATTGATCATATAGCCGAGAGCCTGAGGTAAACGAAAGGCAGAAGCCCGTGCAGCAGTGTGCTCGTTACCTTCTCGACCGCTTCACCTGCCGGGAGCCAATGCCAACAGAGATTGCGTGCTGCCTCAAAGAGAGCAGTGACGCAGCAAAACTCTGGTTCCAAAGGAACGCTGACGCAGCTCTGGTGTTCACTCAGGGTCACGTGCATGTCTCTGTTAAGTATATAGAAATATTGCTTATTATTTAAGGTGTCTTTTTTGTTAGAAAAGTCTTTCCAGAGTTGGCGTCGGCATGGCGTCGGCATTCTTTTTTTTTTTTTAACTCTCTATGTTGGTGTCGGCGTTTTGGAGGGGTCGTTTGCGGGGGCATCGCGGCCGAGGCGGGAAAGCTCCTTCTTCGGTCGTTAAGAAACGTCTCGAGTTTCGAGAGGCGGTGCGGGGAGAACCCGTGCTTGGAGCTGCTTGCGGCTTTTAACCGAGTGTGCCTGTATATTGAGGGCTTCGCCGCTTAGTGTAAAAATGTCGCTTTTTGCTCGACGTAATAATGCAGCGGTTGGCGCCAGCCAGACTGGGAAAATGCAGGGGACGACTCTACAAGGAATTTGGATTTGGCGGTTGGAGTGCCAAGCTGACAGCTCGCCGACCATTGGGCAACAGTGTACCACGTGAGAGTGGTGGAATTTGAAGGGATTGGTTGGTCCCTGAGGGGAAAGGAGGCTCCTACGAGCATAAAAAAGGAATGCCGCGAGGATTCTCGGGAATTCGGCTTTTGAGTTCTGAAAGATTCGGCTGTTGAGACTGGGGACTAAAGTATAGGTTTTAATTTTGGGAGTTTTGTTATGTAAATTACTCTTGACTTGTCGTTTTGTTTTGAAATAAACGTGGCCACACTGGCCATTATAAACCAACCAACGTCGTCGTAATGTGTCCAGCGGGATTGAACAACTTTTAGTTGTTTTTCTTATTCGACCTCCGGGGGACTTCCATCGGGCGAACATCACCATCGGTCGTCACCATCGTGACCGGCCCCCTCCCCTCGGAAAGTTGACTCTCTCCTACGTAACTTAGGGATTGTAACCCTACGGCGTTATTACCTAGGACGAACCGTGCGTCTCTTGCTTGTACAAAATAACACACTGTTTATATAAAACATACAGAGTTCGAACGTTTAAAAAGCTTCCTACTTGCCAATCATCAGGGGGTGCGATCGAGGAAATGAAACCGGGTTTTTCACCCCGCATCAACTAAATACGCAATGCAGGAAGCTGAAACTCCGTGAGAATGGGACGCTAGCGGCGGTGATAAACTCGGGAAGTTTGCGCACACGACATTACCTGGATCGAAAAAGACAAGAGAAAAGAAAAAAATGATGTACGAGCCGATGACTAGCTAAGCCTAATTGTGGGTGCGTGTCGCAATTATGTATATGAAATAACATGTCAGCAAGAAAGAAACCAATATTGTGTTTCTAACCGACAGGCTTTTCCACTGAAATAAATGCTACAGGCACACACAATAATAAATATCGGTAAGTTGTAAATGAGGTTTAGCAAGCAAGCAGGCACGCAAATAATTTGCTTTTGTATTTTTTTTTTTATCTAGGTAATCTCATGCGCTCAAACTTTCGTATTTTATGGTTACTGCCAGCGTCGCATTTTTACGAAGTTTTAGCATTCGACAATCCGTAGTTGATTTGTGCGGAACGAAAAAGCCGGTTTTATTTTCCTGATCGCACCCAGTATATTTTGAGAACGCTAAACTCAAATTATGTTCACCCAAAGCTCGCCGCTCTGCAAACGACACTTTCCAGCAAGTGCTCTAAAAAATATTTGTGCATGTGACTCTTCTGCCAATGAGCAGTTGAGGGCAAAAAGTAAAGGAGCATGGTATTCTGTCTTCGCCGTTTAGTTCGTCTTGGATATGACCAGAGGGAGATTCTCTTTTCTTTCAGTGTTTCTTATTTTTGTGTATATATGTGCGCTCTAGTTTATTCCAGATACCATGGTGTGTTACAGTAAGTATAATTAAGACTCCGACTGGGCAGAAAGCATCTTACCGAACCAAATATGGTTTGTTTTGTAGGCTGTGTATGTATTGGTGACACCCTCTTTTCAATCTCAATTATGGTATCAACCAATCTCCTCCATAAAAAGTGTTGTTCTAACTATGGCAATTTAGCCCTTCTAAATGTATAATTGTTTTGTATTTCAGTATTTGTCTAAGCCAAATATACGTGGCAATTTCTTGTTTTTTTTTTGTTTTTTGCTCTAAACATTAGGCGGCTACCATATAAGCTAGATGTTTGGCCATTCCGTTTCTTTTTTTTTTTTTTTCGGAGGACGTAAATATTTTATAAATATTGTAATGATTTTGACTGTTATATTAGTCGGACTCTATTGCAATTCTCAGGAATATTTCGGTTCTTCATTATGCTGGTAAGATAATCTGAGATATCACAAGTGCTATTCGTACGACCCAATGCAAAACTATATACGTCTGGCCTGGGATTAAGAGATTTACCTTGCTAAGGATATAATTACTAATAAATATTCTTGTATTATTGCTGAGCATAATTATCCCGTGAAATATAAAATGGCTGCAGTTGTTCGATTTAAGTGATTTTTTTACGGCGTTTTACCGAGGGGTGGACGTTTATTACTCATAGGAATATATACAAGGATAGGAAATAAAGGGGAAAAAAGTACACCGACTACCCTCCGCTCCAGAGAGTATAAACTAACCCAGCCATAAAATGGTAACAAAAAGCGAGTATTAACTTAGTGGAGTTGAGGATGCGCGGAAAAATAAAAGCAGTTACCAAATAAAACAGAGCTGCTTTTTATCAATACAAACATTCTTCATATTTAATCCGCTATCGATGTAGAATCTGTTTAAATTGGTACTAAATTGGTAATCGCAGAGGAATGAAAATGTGATATTTAAGATACTTCGTCACATTTGAGTATGCTTACAATGTCTTTGAAGATAACAAAAAAAAAAATATCATAAATTGTAGAATCAACATGCTATAGGTTGGCGGACTGAATTATTTTGGTGTTGATCGAGTAATTACAAAATTATTTTTGTTTATTCTTTTAACGGTGTTGCTATAACATCAATTAATGATACATTACACGTAATTTAAACCGGGGGCAAATGGACGACCTGTAAGATATGGAAATAAATTATGTGTAAGCTAAACCAGCTTAGTGTTTGAACAGCGCAAAGACGACAGGAAGATAGAAGAGAAGAGGACAGGACGCGCGCTGACTATCAACTGATGCTATTTATTCAGAAGAGGATGAAGTGCGCGAGACTCGAGAGTGCCAAAATGCACTTTTTTCATCAGACACACGCGCGGCAGCTTTTTGCACGGGAATGGCCTGTGCCAGCAGGCGACACCTTTTCTTCAACCGAAAGCGCAACCAGAAAACAAAAGAAAGAAAAGAAAAGAAAAGAAACACTAAGTATGAACCAACTAGCCCACCGCAGTACCTTGTTGCAGTTTAAACCAGCTTGCCTGTGTCATTTTTTATATTTACATAGATATACAAAACGAGGAAGTGAAAAACCGGGCACAAAGAATGGTCGCTCGGTTTTGGCATGCCTTCAACAAAAACATGCGTATCAATTCGCAAAAAAAAAAAAATTACATCATCCTTGAACCAGCGAACAAAAAGGCCAGGGTTTTCACCCGCTAATGATGCGCATCCCCCCGATTCTCCTCTTTCTTACTGCCGGCGGCCAAATTTACAATATGAGGACTACGGCTTCGTCTGTGTGACCCAGATGCTGGTTGCCAAGTCACCACAACCTAGAAAAATCAAAGCAATTCACCAACCTCTTTCTACCCCAGACATATACACGTTACTGTAATAGGGGAACTAAATACTGTTACCCCTCATTCCCTCCAAAAGTAACTGAGCGCGTCACTGGTTACTGCGATTCAAAAAGAACGCTTTACATCAATCTGAACCTGACGGGTTATTTTCTCGTTACGTCGAATATGTCAAGTTTAAAAAGCAGTAGCAGCTTTCATTGTTTTTTTGTAATTCAAAATTCCTCGCTTTCAGACACGTCCGTTCAAGGTTAACTAAATCGATATTGAGGTACATCATGCCCACTTGTTTATGGTCTATCTAACGGGTTTTCTTCGTGCGAATTAAGCGCAGCTTGGATATTTTTGTTGTGCAGGTTCTTCTCCAGAAGCAAATGCCATTAACTCGTTACATCAACAAAAATTAACAAAGGTACGTTACTTGTTCCCTCTCTTAAAAAGTAACTAGGTACAAGTAACGCATTACGCACAAGGCTGGTCCACCCCTCCATAACCTCACCGCACATCTACGGCGCCAACTCAGCAACACCCGACGCCGACCGTCCTACGACGGATAGATTGACCACGAGACCGAGCCAAACACGGATGCACCACTCGCGTCCACTCTGTGCCTGCGCTCCATATTACTGCATTGAAGCCGAAATGCGAGGGCACGAGTTTTTAATATTCTAGA